GGGTGATCCTCTGCTATTTCGACTTCTTGAGCGTGGAGCTCCAAGACTTGAAGCTTTAAAGAAACATGCTTACCAAAACCCCTAAGCACTCAGAAATGAGTGCGGAGAGAAAGTTCCGGATAGCATCAGGGGAAGAGGTAGGGTTGAGGAGCATTCGAACTTAGTATATAGGGATTGTATTGGGATAATGGAAAAATAATGGAGACGACTACTTAGGGCTTAGGGGTTATATTGGAATAATGGAAAATATTTTGGAGACTACTACTTAGGATTGGGGGGTTATACTGGGATAATGGAAAAGAAAGTGGAAACTACGCCTTAGGGTTTAGTAGGAAGTCTTGAGCCTTTCAAACCTCATGCCAAAGCAGAACAAACGTAGGTTTAGGAGCCGCAGATTTCCGCCCCAGAGGCTAAAGTTGGACAACGAAGCCAAAGAGGTAATTTCCCTAAATAGGGGGACCGCAAAATATTCTAGTCCTTATTATTGGCACCCCTCAAAATGGTACCCCTAATTCTGTTGACAAGAATCAAGGTAGCAAAGCAAAAGCCAGTCCCACATTATCTATAGCATGCTCTAGGCTCCAAACCCTAAAGCCATATTACTCCAATATATCCCCTGTAAAACCCACTATAGTAGTTTCCATCTTATTTTCCATTATCCCCATATAACCCCTATATAGCCATATTAGATTCTAAACCCTAAAACCATCCTGCCCCGGCTTCATCATTCCAGCTTCCCATTGAAAGCTACCAGGTTTCATTTTTGGAAGAGGGGTCTTTAAGCATTACCTGTTTGTAAGCAGGTCTCTGCGGGTGTAGGTCTACTTTACATTGGTTTCTGCGCCACAAAGGCAAGCATAACAATTTTGTATCCACCCTCGCAGGTCTCTGCTGTGTAGACATGCCGGGCGCCGCAAAAATCGCCTCAAAGGGGCGGCACAGCAGGAGAGAGAACCTAGGATTTAGGGCCTAGCCCTGGGCTTCCAACCCTAAACCCTAAACCCATGAACAATACCTAACTTGGGCCTTCGGATTTAGGGTTTAGGCTAAAAACATTATCTGTTTCGGGCTATTTGGATGCCCAGGGAAGGGAAAGGACTGGGAGCTCAAGATGTTGGGTTTGCTGCGATGTGAGGGTGGCGTGTTGTTGCTTAAGGGTCCGGGGATCAGGCATGTTCAGGACTTTCGATTGTTGGGCATCGGGGCTTTAAGCGTCAACGTGTGTGCTGCCTGGATCTTGAACTGTCGACTTCAATCAGCAGATGCTGTATCGCTCATGAAAATGCTTTAATAGCGAGCGTCTGACAGTTTTGGTGGAAGGTGGTGACACTGAGGGCTACTCCGCAATTTTTGAACCCTTGGCCCTATACTTCCTGTCCGGTTTCAGGACTCAAGCCATGTGTGTACAAGCTGCTGCTTGAAACAGTGACAGGTTGCAATTCTTGGGCTAGGAGTTTATGAAGGCCCTGAGCATGAGCTGTAGTATTGAAGCCTTCAGGAGGAGGAGCTAACCATAATCCGCAGTCAATCCGCAGAAGGTTTGAGCCCTCTTACGGACATGACAAAGTAAGTGCGGCGGCCGTAGCAGAAGGAGCAGAGCACCCCTAAAATGTCTGTTAGCAACACTCGTTCTTATCCAGCCCTCTACACCAATAATTCCCAAAAGAACCCAAACCAAAGCCACCCGCACAATCCCTAATCTCATCCATGCCACAATCCCTTAAAAAAATCCCACCCAAAGCCACAACAATCCCTGAGCTTGTCTATTCTAAGCCAAATTGTACATTCGAATTGAGAGGTGATGTCAACCATATTATCCATATCCCTTTGTCCATCATCCGACCCCGATTTACAACGTCTCTCATGTCTTGGGACTAAACCAACATCCTCCATCTCACTGAGGTGCACTTGGTGTGATTTTGCAACAGACACTGATGGCTCAATCTGCATCCTCTGTCGTCCCAGCCTGTTGCCTTGCTAATTATGGGTTCTATTGGCTCGTCCAAGATATGGATCCGGCAGGTCTTGCGTGCTGCCGCCTCTGGAATGGTTCTTATGGCGCTCCACATCGACACAGTGCGGCCACGAGCCTTTGTGCCGCATGCAAGCTTTTCCACAATGACCTTGACGACCCGACGCTGCAAGAGCGAAGAGGAAATCTACGAGGAAACAATTGAGGAGATGATTCGTGGGCTTAAGCAAACTTCAAACGACTACTTCGCTGAACTGAAGCGGCGGCAAGACCCCTCAACACCGGCGGAAAATTATGAGGATGTAATGTTGAAGATGATGGAAAGGCCTGACTCAGGGGTAAGACAGTGGGCCGATAGGAAGGCGCAGAAGATCTTGCCCTATCTCGAGGGCGACATGACAGCTGAAGCCAACGCCAATCTCGAAAGCGACATGACAGGCGAAGTCAATGCCAGCGGCGGCACAAAGTTCATTCCTGGCTTCTTGTCGCGACGTGCTCACCAACTGAAGCAGACGGTTCAGAAGTGGCTCTCCAAGATGTGTGTTTGAAGCATGCAGTTGCCCAAATCTTGACACCGCCTGCAAATGTAGTAATTAGATATACGTCGGTTCGGTCGAGTACTTCCTTTTGAGCGCCCCTCCGGTGGGGGCTGGGAGTCCGTTTTCGGGCTCATCGCGACTCGCACCGCAACACCATCCAGCATACAACGGCTCGGACAGCTGGCAGACGGTGCAAAAAGGCAGAATACGAGCGCAACTCCCAAGTCCTAGAACGCTGAGACTGAAAAGCATAAGTGACTGCATACTGAACCTGCAACGCCCTGCAGAAAGACTTTGCAATACGTTTGAGCAGCTTTCGGCTACTCCAGCTGGCATGCAAGTGCAGTGACATCAGGGTTTCAGGAGCGCGGGCAACCAAGTCAAATAGGCAGCAGCAACAGAGACCTTGCTGTTTAGAAGGCTCCATTCATGCACTCAAGCCCAAAAACATCAAAAGACGGGCTTCCACTTCTAAGACACATCTAAACTGCATGTAGGCAAGATCCCGAGTCGGTTTTTGCTATCTTGACTGCGCAGGACCTTGAACCGTCCGAAGAGCCAGCTGTTGTCCAGGATCCTCTGCGGGGACAGCGCTTGAGAAACACTCGTAATTGTGGTCCGAATGCTTAGAGGCTTAGTGGTCTGACCAGACATTGGTTTAGGGTCTTAGGGTTTAGGGTTTAGGGTTTTATAGAGTTTGGGGTTTTAGGATTTTAGGGCTTATGTTACATACTGATTCATGTTGTGGTACCTGCAGGATCAACTTGACAACACACGCATACCTGCATAATGGAAACTACTATAGTATATTGGGGTTATATAGGGATAATAGAAAAAGAAACTGGAAACTACTATATTGAAGTCTCCTCATTGTTGACCCATACAGTAAGTATGTCTTGGGTACGCATTCAAGGCACCGTCTCGAAGCTCTTTAAGTCAAGGTTTAGGGTTTAGGGGTTTCGGGTTTAGGGTTTGGGGATCTTTTCGTCTGGACTAGACCGAACTCCAGCACACACTCTGGTCATTTCCCAGAATAATGAGACCTCAATATAGTAGTTTCCATTTTCTTTTCCATTATCCCTATATAACCTCAATATACTACAGTAGTTTCCATTTTCTCTTCCGTTATCCCTACAAAACCCCAAAAGTACTGTAGTCCTTATAATTGGGATCCCCAACATGGTGCCCTTAATTTTCGGATACAGGGATACGGGAAAAGAAACGGGAAGTTGTAATAGTATAGGGCTATATAGGGATTACTTAGGGGTTACATAGGAGTGAAATAGGGATATTGGAAAAGAACATGGAAGCTACTAGTTAGGGTCTTTCACTGCATGAGATCTGAAATCATGCCTCTGTAATGCTTTCTGCTACCGAGGTATCCTTGCAAAAACAACCCCGAACCCCAACAGTCTCAGGTCATTGCTGAAAAAAAGTTGTGCCCTAACTCGGGATCTCTCGCTACATGCCCCTTTAAGCCCTCAGCCCCATGAAAGGCGCATGCTGTTTAGGACCTTGAAATCGTGATTTGTGTTGCTTAGGATCTTCCTCAGCCAATCCTGGTGTTTTGGGACCTGGACAACAAGACGCTAGGCTGACCCGGAGAATTGCCTTGGGTTTTGGAGTGTTGTTTTTTGTTCCGCGGTCAGGTTTTCAGTTGCAGCGGTTTTGTTGGAAGAGTGCGCTACGTGGGAGCCAGTTACCCGAGAGGGCTTGAAGGCCTAAGCCCTACACGTTGAGCCGCTTGTGTGGCCTCGAGTCCGGCGGCCTTACTTTTATGCGATCGCGAAGTCACTGAAAGGTTTGTCTTGTTGAAGCCCTGGAAGTACTTGGATGTTTAGGGGTACCTTATAATAAGCAACACACAGGAACCCGCAGCCCCTAAAGCCTAAACCTTATGCACTCAAGGTTCCCCCTTAATGCTTCAGGAGGCTTAACTGAGGCTACTCTAAACCTCAAACCTAAAACATGAAACGCTCAGACCCTGAACCCTGAAAACCCGGAAGCCCAAACCATAAGCAACTTAAAACCCCTAAAAACCCTAGAAACCTTCAACCCTTTCTTAACAACCTTAAGCCCTAGAGGCCCATCCCAAAAAGCCATCAAGCTGGAGGTTATTGCCTCGCTATGTTAGTTTGGCTTCTGCTGTCACGACCCTTGAGGACTGTCTTTAGGGTTTAGGGTTGAGGTCCATGAACCCAATAATTAGGTCATTTTGGGATATATAGGGTTTAGGGTTTAGGGCTCTACGGGTCCATGTGTCCAATAATTGGGGTGTTTGGGATTAGGGGAGTAGTAATTGTAGTCCAGGTCTGGAGCAAGAATTGGATTATTGGGTACAAGGACGCTTACAAACTGTTCCAGGTGTTTGGTCTTTAGGGCTTTGGGTTTGGGGTCTTATGTTTTGGAGTGTGGGGCTTAGGGCTTGGGGATCTTATTACAGGGTTACATGGTGGGGTTTCCGGATTTCTGAAGAACCAGTGAGATGACGGCAAAGGGCAAAAGTAGGACATTCCACTATGGGCTATCAGACCTTAAGGGTACCTGAATCTACCCTTAATAGGGTCGTAACAGGGAATTTTAGGGTCTATTAGCCCATAGTGGTTGCCGATGCAATCCAGTGTTTTCCGACTTAGCCTGTCCTAGGGTTCTAGCACGCTGTAAAGCTTTGAAACCGCCCCTACTTGGTAACAGTTGGATGATGATGGCAACCTGATGCAATATGAATATCAGGTCCTTAGTACTACCGCTCATACAGACGGTTACTGGGTTGGAGTAAACCCCAAGCCTTTTGGAAGGACTTCCTCCATGCCCGTCCGCAAGTAGTCCAGCTGTACGCAAGCTACAAGAGCGTGCGAATTCGTGAGGAGCAGGAGCCTTGGTTTAGGGTTTAGGGACCATGCAATTGCCAGAAGGGTTTCCTTGAGAGGGGCCATATAGGTGTTGCATAGGGTTTCGGGTTTGAAGTTACCATAGTCTGGATACATAGTACATGTTTCTTCAATTGGTAAGCAGAAGTTTTGAAGGGGCATAGTCATAGTACTTCAACAAGCTAAGGGGTTTGCCTAACTTGCCCTTGTGTCCTCATTTTGAGGACCCTGTAAGGTTATGGGGCATGGGCTTGGGATGCTGAATACTTCTTTGAAAGTTGGATGTCCTATATGTGCGGAAGCAGGTAAGGGAGGTATACGCACCACGCGTGGCATGTTTCAGCAATACTTATGCATCCCCCGCTAACCCCAGCGCTCCCCCTTGCCTTGCATGGTCCGCTTTGGTTGGTTCAAGTTATTTAGGATGGGAATTAAGGGGGAGCCGTGGGGGCGGGGGTTAGTATGAAAGGAGGGGAATAAGATGGGGACAGCAGGGGAACCCGCGATGCCAATCACATTCCAACCTAAAACATTTATCAAAATCTGCCTGCAGCTTGAAAGACAGAGCTGGCTCCTTAAAAGCGGTATTCGGACATTCAGAATTTCTTCGAGGGCTATGTATAGCAAACTTCATGTGCTACTGGGGTGGTGTTCGACATGCGCCTTTTCTGCTGGGGTACTGTTTAATGATTAAACTCATAATTTGGTACGCGCAGTGTTAAGTATTGTTCAAATCAAGTTGCCATAGTATGGACATACAGAAAACATTACTACATGTCCCCATGGTACTTTCCCAAAATAAGGGA